AAGGATTATACAGCATGATCAAGTGGGATTTATCCACAGAATGCAAAGGTACTTTAGCATATAAAAATAAATCAATGTAACAGACCACATTAACAGAATTAAGGGCAAAACCACATGATCATCTTAATTTATGCAGAAAAAGCATTTGATCAAATTTAACACCCTTTTACAATTACACAAAACTCAACAAACTAGAGATAGAAGGAAATTGCTTTAATATATTAAAGACCATGTATAAAAAACCCACAATTAAATCATACTCAATGGTGGTAAGCAGAAAGTTTTGCTCTAAGATCAACAAAAAGGCAAGGATACCCAAACTCACCATTTCTAGTCAGTGTAGTACTGGAAGTCTTAGTTAGAGTAATCAGGTTGAAATGGTCTGTGCAATACACAGCTGCTTTCTTTCACCACCAATAAGAGTCAAGAGGCAGGGAACTGGAAAAAAGAGGTTTATTTCTGAATTCGGAAATAAGTCTGCTTGGCTTCTTGGACTTTACAGTTCATATTTATAAGCACAAGTCTTAAGGTTTGTTATAGATTAACATCACACTACAACATTTCGGAAGGTTCCCATGACATCTGCATTCCATTACTCTGATGTTCACTGCCTATACATTTCTGTACCACCCTGAGCCTCATGCTTTTGTTATTAAAGACAAAGGAATACTTTCCAGAGTTTAGTACCTTTTTAACAGGTTCCACAGAGTAAATGGGTGAGAGTGGGTTAGCTTCTTTACCATTATAAAAAAAAAAAACTATGAATTGTTGAAAACAAAATCATTGAGCACTAAAACAGGTGGGTGTTGGCTTAACATAAATAAATCAAGCTTAACACTGTGTTGTTAATGATTACCTTTTACCAGAAAGTTGGATTTATATTGTTAGGAACCAAATCATTTACTAATTCATGGTTAATTAACATTGTGAAGGTTATGAATTATCCTTCTAATTTTAACTAACTAATATTAATTGTGCCTACCAGAAATTCCTACAGACTACATGTAGAATATCTCCCAAGCTGGATGCCTGTCATTCTTTGGATTAGCAAAGGATTTGAACTGGGTGGTCTTCCTTATCATGGTGAGAAAAAAGAAATAAAAGACATCCAGATATAAAAAGAAGAAGTAAAAGTATCTTTATTTATAGTTAACATAATCTGTAGAAAACACTAAAGATTCCATTCATATACACGAAAACCAAAATTGTTAGAACTACAAATTCAGCAAAGTTGAAGGATACAAGCTTAACATACAAAAATCAGTTATATTTCTATACATAAACTTTAGAAATATAACAATCTGAAGGGGAAATTAAGATAACAATCTCATGTACAATAGGATTAAAAAGAATAAAGTGCCTAAGAATAAATTTAAACTTAACCAAGAAAGTAAAATATTTGTGCACTATAAATTATAAAATATTGTTGAAGTAAAGATGACACAACAAAATGGGAAGATGAGAAGACATCTCACATTCAAGGATTGAAAGATTTAATATTGTTCAAAATGTGTATGTTACCCAAAGTTATCCACAAGACTCAATGCAATTCCTATCAAAATCCCAATGACATTTTTTACAGAAATAGAAAAACTTTCTAAAAATTCATATGGATTTTCCAAGGTTCCCAAACAGTAAAAACAATCTTGAAAAATAAAAACAAAACTGGAGGCTTCACCTCGATCTTTAAACATATTACAAAGCTACAGGAATCAAAACACTATGACCCTAGCATAAAGACAGACATATAGAACAAAACAACAGAATCGAGAACTCAGAAATATGCCAGACTTGTCGTCAAATGATCTTCAACAAAGGTGCTAATACTACACAATGTGGAAAGGCTAATATCTACAACAAATGGTGACGCCAGGTAGGGTGCTGTGTAACTGTTCCGCGGGTTCTTCCTTGAGTCCTGTGAAAATCTTGAGAGATAAAAGTTACTGTTTTACTATTTTGATTCGGTTTCTTCCTGAAAACACCATCCCCCAGTACCTCCAGAGCCTGGTTTAGTGCAGGCATTGTTCTAGAGAGTTAAATCCTGATAAGATGGTGCACAGTTGGATGCCTGATCCTCTGATTTTTAATTATCTGGGCTATGCCTGCGTACAGGATACTCACCTATCGATCTCTCTTTTAGCTACCCTGCCTCAGTGGTACTGGAAAAACTGAATTTCTCCATGCAAAAGAATAAAGGTGAACCCTTAACAGCTTCACCATATACAAAAATGAACTCAAAATTTCGCCTTCTCTAGAATGTTCTATGCATGAAATCATACAGTATGTGTCCTTTGTACCTAGTTTCTTTCCCTCAGCATAATACATCTGTCATATATTTTTCTGTGTGTCATAATTTGCTCACTTTTATTACTAGTATTAATTAAACATATGGCTATTTTTAAATTTATTCACCAGATGATGAAAATTAGGAATAAAGTCATTAAGAATACTTGAGTGAAAGTTTTTATGTGACCGTTATGTTTTTACTCTGATAAATACCTAGAAGTGAAGTTGCTGGGTCACATATTAGGCGCATGTTTAAATTTGTAAGATGCCTTGAAACTGTTTTTCAAATAAGCTGTACCATTTTGCCTTCACACCAACAAATATGATAGAGACAGTTGATCGCAGAACTCTTCAAGGATGGCAAGCCTCCCCTCACAAATCTATTTCTCTCACTAGTGGTGAAAGGTATGTCTTCTGGACCCTTTCGGTGTGGGTGAATAGGTCACAGGTGACAAATCTACTTAAAAGGACAGAGCCCAAAACAGAGTTCCTGTGGTCACGCTGAGCAGATTTGGTCATGTACTTAGGTCAATACCACATGTATAGCAATAATTACTAACTAGAAGAGCAGCCATTAATTTCCTCAGGCACTGCAGAGTGAATCCCTCCAGAGGACGATGGAAGGGCCATTACCAACTGCAAAAAAGACTCATCAGAATTTAGGGCTCAATGTCCTCAGCTTTAGCAGGGTCTTCCCATACATCTCCATGGATGTGTATAGAATTCCAATTATTTCCAATGTCCTCAATTAAACAGTTAAACAGCCTTCGAAACTGTGAATCCAATTTGCTTTGTAATTCAGTCAATTACAGGATGACATTCTATATTTGCTTTTCAGCAGCTTCAAACTTGCAGCTATGAACAATAAGAGTGTCTTTCAGGACACAGGCAGAAACTTTCAGGTCACATATTCAGTTCTTTATCTGGAAATTTAAAACCCTTAACTCATCCTTTTCTTTCAACACTTTGTCCAGCAATAATAGAAGCAACCAGCTAACCTCATTATATTGGTTAGTTTTTCTAAAAATGTTCTGGAGGATCTATATACACAGTCTTGTCTCCCAGCTTCTTACTTCTTCTAAATGTTTGATCTGAAGTATCCAGTGTAATGTTTTGTTTATCTCTATTGCCAGATCAGATCACACCATGGACGATTAATGCTCTTTTTACTATTGGTAACAGAGTCATTAGCATCTTTAAATCTAATAGTAGGAGGCTAATTCCAGAAACCTCAGTACTAATTTGGAAAAAAAATTGTTCCTCTACAACCACTCTCAGCACCAGAATCTACATTAGTGTAGGTTCTACAGAGAAATAGAACTGAGAGAATATATATGCAGTAACTCCTTTACTTACAATAGGGCTGCATCCAGATATACTCTTTGTAAATTAAAAATAGTATAAGTTGAAAATGTAATTAATATATCTGACCTATCAGACATCATAGTTTAACTTAGCCCACCTTAAAAGTGCTCAGAATGCTTACATTAGATTACAGTTAGATAAAATGATCTAATATAAAGCCTGTTTTATAATAGTGTTACTATCTAATGTAATTTATCAAATACTGTACTGAAAGTAAAAACCAGGATAATTGTAGGGTACCATCATAAAGCCAAAAAAGTATTAGTTGAACCATCACAAGTAGAATATATATGAAATATATTGAGAGAGAAAAAGAGAGAATAAAGAGAGTGTTTTATAAAAGAAGTTGATCCATGCTATTATAAAGAGCTGACTTGTGTCTCATGATTTAAGAATAAACTCCCCATTTTGTAATCTTTTACATTATAAACTGGTACTGGTATCTACTACTATGTTTGTGAACAATATTATGAGAAAGAAAGTAAAAATAAGAGAATAATGTATTAGATAAGTCCACATAAAAAGACAGTGTTTTGTGGACTGATATAATTGAGTGGTCAATTTGTAAGACTTTTCAAAATGCACAATTAAGAAAATAAAAATATTGTGATCATAATGTGTGTATATAGTCAGTGAAAATTTATATAGATGCAAATAGACAATGAATTTGGAGAGTAAAATCATAGAATTATTGCTTTCCTGAAGCTTAATATCCCAATTAGAATTTTAAAATATATTTCTAGGACAGAGACTTTTAGAAAAATTGAAGTTTGCCTTTTCTGTCATCTGTAAAATGTGTATAATTATATTGTGTGACTGTAAGGATAAGAAATAATACTTGGCATGCTTAGTGCAGAGAGTAGATTTCCAGTAGTCAGAATTTTATTATTTTTCATTTTTCATTTTTCTATAGTGATTGTGGTAAAACAGCCATAAACCAAATTATAGTATTCATTTCAATATTAGTTGCAGTTCAGCAATTATTCAAAGACAATTTTGTAACTCATCTAACAGTATTTCCCAAAATCTTCCATAAGAGAATGTGAATTTCAAAACTCTGAGTGCAGGAAGAACTAACATCTGCTTCAATGCATCCTATTACTCAACTGTCGGTGAAGAATAGGGATATGAAGGAGAAGAAAGAATCTCAAACCAGCCATTTGTGTTTCTTATTAGCAATTACATGAAATGCTTTAACAAATGAGGAATTAAAACTCATTAGGATGCAGTCAACAATATATTTCATTAATGAGTTTGTTTGAGGTAGCACAAAGGTCAGAAAAAATGTTTTTAAATTTTATCCTCAATCATTTGTAACTTCAATCTTGATATTTTTTATTTCCTTGTAGATTCCGTTTGCAATAAAAACGACACCAGGTGCCTCTCAAATTCTTGCCAAAACAATTCTACATGCAAGGGTTTTTCAAAAGATAATGATTGTCATTGTTCAGACACAGCCAATAATTTTGATAAAGACTGTGACAATGTGGCAAACCCTTGTTTCTCCAATCCCTGTCAAAAGAGTGCCACTTGTGTGAACACCCCAGGAGAAAGGAGCTTTCTATGCAAATGTCCTCCTGGGTATACTGGGACAACCTGTGAAACTACCATTGAGTCCTGTGGTCTGAACTCCTGCCAACATGGAGGCATTTGCCTGCAGGACCCTGTTCACCCTATCTGCATCTGCCCTGCTGGATTTGCCGGAAGATTCTGCCAGATAAATCACGATGACTGCGCTTCCAGTCCTTGCCACAATGGAGCTGTGTGCCAGGATGGAATCGATGGCTATTCCTGCTTCTGTGTTCCGGGATATCAAGGCAAGCACTGTGACTTGGAAGTGGATGAATGTGTTTCAGATCCCTGCAAGAACGGGGCTACCTGCCTCAATGAGATAGGAAGATACACTTGTATGTGTCCCCACGATTATTCTGGTAAGTGTGATTACATCTAAATTACCAGTGGTGTGAATAGCTCTCTCTTTCTTTAAAATGGCAAAAGCAGAGTGTTATTGAATCATTTATGAAAGTGGCCACGTTTTTGACAGGAACTAATCACTAGGTGGCAAACTTCCTAAACTGTTAAAACAATCCATTGAATCCACTGAACTCTAAGTAATTGTGGGTTGTCACTGTTGCTGTTTTAAAGGGAGCGCTACATGATTTAAAAGTTAAATTCAGTCTAGAACTAGTGGACTTCAAGGGGAGTTCCAAAGTTTCCGGTCAGGACAGTTCAGGTTTCCTCATCAGTGCTATTCCTTTCATTCTAGCTCAGATTTTCTTTCTAACGCCCAAAGCCTGACATTGCAGCCTGCTGGGAAGGCCAGCTGCAAGTTGGTGAGGTTTTTAGTGCTAGTGTTATATAAACACATCAATAACAGCAAGGCTGATGGAGCATGGCAAGTCAGATAAATCATGGTTTTAGTAACTAGTTAACATAATTTTAATGATAGAATAACAAGATGATACTCATTACCATCCTCACACTCCGTCTATCTTCTCCATCCTCCTGAATCATAGTTATCCATTTAAGTCAACTTTTTTTTTGCTATTTGTGTTTGTTAATAAGTTGGGGTTCACTCTGTCATCCATGTTGGGGTGTACTGGCACAATCACAGCTCATCGCAGCCTCGAATTCCCAGGCTCAGCCCATCCTCCCACCTCAGCCTCCTTAGTAACTGGGACTCCAGGTGCACACCTCCACACCCGGCTAATTTTTTGATATTTTGTAGGGAAAAGTTCTCGCTATTTGCCCAGGCTGGTCTTTAACTCCTGGTCTCAAGCAATCATAAAGTCTCAGTCTCCCAAAGTGCTGGGATTATAGGCGCAAGCCACCTGGACCAGCCTAGGTCAATTCTTCAGGATGACCGTTGGGTTTTCTTATCTACTTGTAAGAAGGCAACTCACTCAGTTCTACAGTTTCTCACATTTCTTGTAGTTCCTGATGCATATTTCTGAGACATCACTCACTTTTTAATACCACTTTTTTCCCTTAACTCTTGCCACTTTTGCAGCTGCCTGTGGTTTCTGGTTTTCAACTTGCCTTCTTCTCCCAACTCTTTTAAACTTACTTCTTTATGGTGTCTTTTTTTTTTTTCCAAGTATAGTAAGCAATATACCTATTTGGAAAATACTCCTCTTCAAAATTTGCACAAGAACCCTCTAGGATTATTTTGCTGTTTCACATTCTGGAAATATCTTCTTACCAAATAGACATCCCTAGTTGTTCTAAAATAGAGTTTGCTCCCTCTCCCTCATCCCTTACCTACAATCAATCTCCAAAATCTGCTGTTTTGACATCTAAGATATGCTTCAAATTGAGCTCATGCATTGGCTTATGTTTTCCTCATCTCTTTGACTGTAACACTATACAACCTCCCAGACCCTACTTCCAGCCTCTGTTTTCTCTACATTGTTCTATACACTACCTTTGAAATAATTCTTCTAAACTAGACCTATGACACATCCCTCTGAAGAGCCTTGAGAGCTCACTACTCTATAGAGAATAATTTAAGGCTCTCATTTAAAGTCTCCCACCATTTGTGGTGTACATTAACCATATCTCCATATATTATTCCACCAAGGCATTTTATTTCCCCCAAACCAATGGTCTTTGTTTTTTATTCAAGTGGTTCTCTCTCCTCCCTGGAATGTCCTTCCCTACTTCACAATGTCTACTCTGAACTTCTCCTCTACTTCCAAGACGTGATTCAAATATCATTTAACTCAAGAAACATTTTTATATTCCTTTTAAGCTGGAATAATACTTTTACAGGGCTGCACTAATTATATTCATTGCTTCCATACTAGCTGACCCCTCCCATATTCTTCCCATATTCATACAGATATTTATATGCTTGAAATTTTGTTTTATATTTATTCTGTAATTCATCAATACTTACTTGTTCAGCCATTATATTGAAAAGAGGAGCACTCTTCCTCAAAGAGCCTAGCTCAGTATTTGTGAATAAAGTGTGCTTAATCAACTGGAACTAGGTTGTTTTAAGTTTTAAAATTTTTCCATATTTTCCTGGGCACACTTCCTGGCAATGAAACTGGGGTAAATGAATAAATCATAGTTAAAATAAATATTAAACTTGAGTTTACCTTCTCTATCATTTTATGTATACTTTATGATGGTAGAATGCTTGTGTCAACTGGCAAATTATTTTATTGAGTGTATTCAAATCTGAAATGAAGTAAAATTCCATCATAAGTCACTTCACCCTATGAGAAATTCATTTGTACTGTGGATTGTGTCATATTCTTGTGGGACCCAGTGGGAATGAGTGCCCTTTTCTCACTGTAATACTTGAAGTCCACAATGAGGATGATTTCCTTGACAACCCCTAATAGAATGGTGGTGTTCCCTATTTAGCTATATTCCTCTCTTGTTTACTAAGAAATCAGTTAAATTTTATTATTTCAGCTTTTCTGGTGACATACATAAAATTTGCTTGCAAGCAGGATTTATTTGAGAGACTCATACAGCAGTAAGAATCAGGTCTATTATTAGCTGGTTAGGCTTGTTCAGGTACAAAAAAAAATACAGTCATAGGCTGCTCGCTTATCTCTCCTACACAAGTAGAATAGCCTGCATTCTGGTAGCTCATCAGCGGTTCAAAGTCCTGACTACTCATTAGCAGTTAGCAAGGGAGAGCTGAAACAGAGGTGTCCAGACTTTGCCTTCAGAAGGTCAAATTTAACTGATGATTCTAATGAATAGCTAAGGCTAGGGCCCAAAAATTTAGTTCCTGTGAACTTTATTTGGAAATTTTTCTTGTACTATACTGTCATTTAGAAACACGGAAAGCTTTATTTATTTCATTGCTATCCCCTGATTACCAGTGTTTGTGGCAGCTCAGGCCAATTAACGAGAACTCCAAAGAAGGTCTGAGAACTAAGGGAAAAGCTAAAATTGAGAAGGAAAGGAAAAGACCATCAGCAATCAGCATGGATGCACTGGAGAGCTGTGCCTCAGCCTAGACCTCCTGATGAATCCTAGAAACTGTATTACAATGACCTCGCTGCTGTGTGCTACATCCAAATTTAGAGGGATCATAAAGAACTTGACTTACAGGAAAAAACCTGTGTTCCTCTGAGCAGCAAAGTAAGAAAAGGCAATAAATTTTAAAAGACAGAGAGGTAGAAGGGAAAAAAGAGCTGTAGCACACGGAGAGGGTTCACACTGCATGAATTCTCCTCTGTGCACTCCATTGTGCTTCCTGAGCAGTGATTCATGAACTACAGAAATGGGCTCAAAGAGAGTCACTGAGGATGCTGGTGAGAATCTGCTGTGCATAAGCAAAAACTCCAGTTGAACCTGAAAGTAAGCAGCTTCAAACTTTTTGTTAATAAAAAGAATATTAGCTCTGAGCATGTGACTGCTTTTAGTTCAAGTTTATGGAATGAATTATTTTGTAATTCAGGTCTTCCTTAAAATTAGATTGATTAATGTGCATTTTTACATTAAGATGCCTGCATTATGAGAAAAATAGGGCAGGGAAAGGCCAATTCGATACATGATGAAGCAAATCCATGTAAGAGAATATCTCTTCTATTATCAGATAGAGCTTTGGCACAAAAATAATCTTTTGGGAAATCAAAAATGCTCTGCATTAAATTTACTCTTCAATTATTTATTTCAGAAACAAAAATATATGAAAAAATAATTTTATATTGATGAAAACATACCAATATACAGAGAGTAATGAGATTGCTGCAGAGAGACTAGGTAGAAGGCCATTATGATAACCCAGGTGTACGATACAAGGACCTGACCTTGGAGAGTAGCCACTGGCATGAAAAGAAAGGACAGGAACAAGATCACTGAAAACAAGACTCGCTTAACATCTATTAAGGCCAGGATATTTTCAAACTTATTTTATCCAAGGAAAGCTTGAAATCTAGAACACTAAAAAAGGAATGCATTAAAGTTTCAACTGCCATTTTCAACTTAATGAACTTATAATGTAGAGCTATGGATTGCAAATGTTAGCATGTATCAGACTCACCTGGAGAGCTTATTATTAAAATACAGTTTTTAATCAGTAGATCTGAGGTGAAGTCCAAGAATGTGCATATATAATAAGTTCTCCTGGGATGCTGATTCAGGGACCACACCTTAAGAATCTACTGACACAGACAATTATGTGGCTTTTCATGTGACATCCTTGACTTTTATTTCACAAGTCCATGCAACAAGGAAATAAAATCAATAAAAGTAGGTTTTATATAAAGCAATTATTGCTAGGAACAGTGCTACTAGATATATGATGCTATGGTTTGAAGGGTTGTCCCTCCAAAACTCATTTGTTGAAAACTTAATTATAAAGGCAACATTATTTGGATGTGGAGCCTAATGGAAGATGTTTAAATCATAAGGGCAGAGCCCTTGTGAACGGATTAATGCCACAATAAAAACAGTTTGAAAGTGAGCTTACCCCTTTGCACTCTCCCACCATGTGAGGAGCAATATTACTACCTTCTAGAGGATGTAGCCTTCAAGGCTCCACCTGGGAATCCTGCCTTCTGCAGACATCAAACTTGCTAGCATCTTTATCTTGGATTTCTCAGCCTCCAGAACTATGAGAAATAAATTTCTGTTCTTTATAAATTACTTAGTCTCAACTATTCTGTGTTAGGAGCATGGGATAGACTAAAACACGATATGGATTTTTTTAAAACAAAAGAGGAAAAATAGGGACTAAATTTTAGGTAGAGTGACCAGAGAAGGTTTCACTGAGATGATATGTGAATAAAATTCTAAAGAGGTGAGGAAGAGAGCCAGGGAAATGTCTTATGGAATAGTAATCCAGACAGAGGAATAGCAGATGTGGTGGCCCTAAGGTAAAAAATACTTTAGAATGTTTTTGAGGAGCAGCAATGAAGTTAGTGTGACAGGAGTGAATGAGCAAGGAGGAGACAGATAAGAG